CTGTCTTCAGGAATCTGAATAGGGGCACAGGTGTGGCAAAGAAAACTCAGAGCAGATGGAATTTAACTTTGGTTTGAATATGACAAAATTAGTTTTGAACATTTGTGTACTAAAATGGAAACTGGAATGTGATACTTGGGTTGCAACATATCTTCAGAGAGAACATCCTTAAGGATTTTCTAAAGTGCTTTGTATTTTGGTATAGCACATCCATAATTCATTTAATTTAGTCAGGTTTCTGGAAGTGAGTCAGATGATGATTCAATTATTTTCAGCACAAACAGCCTCTGAAGTGTCATCATCAGTATTATCAACAGAAGTGCTTATAAGCTGATGCCCCTGTTTTTCCACATCTCCTGGAAGTGATATGGCAGTTTGAAACTGGAATACCTTCAACCACGGCTATGTCTGTAGCCTAGGTCTCTGACATACCATCAATCTGTTAACAGCCATACTTGATGTCAACGTGACTTTTAATTGAGGGGATAGTTTCTGAAGTACAGTCTGTAGATGTAGACTGTGACAACGTTACTGTATAAAGGCTTCTGAGAAAAACTTTGGAGGTAGAAGTGGTGGTAGCAGTGAAGGAAACTCAATTATTCATTCTGTATTATGACTTAAAAGAAATTCAGTCTATCTGGAAGTAGAATATGAGGAGAGTGAAAAAAGACGTGGAAAAAAGACCTTTGTGATGTTATCTGTCAAACTCAAAGCCAGGAAGATTTGAAAGGATTGTGGGCTCCAGGTAAGCAAAATAAGAGACCTTTCAGAAAGTTCAAGGAGCCTGGAAATCACCTTGAACTGTGTTTAAACTCACCTGTTAAAGAAACTAGGTTACTACAATGTGTGAACATGTTTTTCCAATGTAGTTTAGCCTACACAGACATTTAAGCAAAATTCTTAACAGATTATTGGACATGTAGCTAGCAAGAATGTTCAGTCACCCAGTTCTGAAATATCTAGCCTAACTGCAAAGCATTTTAAGGAGATATGGTAGAGAGAAGTCTTGGGTTAATTAATTGCAGGGCTTCTTCTGAATGTTTAATGTATTCTGACAATTTAGAGTATGTTTGTTTTGGAAGCAAGTTAATAAGAAAGCAAAACTGGACAAAAGCTTTCAAATATTTTTTGCTTCATCTCTATGAAAACAGAAAGATGTGATACTGTGTAATGTGGAAGTGCCTAAACCGAAATCAGTTCCCATATGGGAGAGCATAGAAGAGAAATGCTGTATGGGCTTAGCGTGGTCAAAAGTGCTTAGCATGGTCCTAACCTGCCATCAATACCATTGTGAGCACTTGTCAAAATACAGTTGGTCTTTCAGCAGTGATGCACTTCTAATTGCAGGTCATATGAAGCTCCCAAGCTGTCTCACATAACCTGGTGTCCCAAAGGAAGCTTTAAATGACATTTTAACAAGTCTCATCACACTTTGCCATAACCCCGAATCTGCACATAGCCAAAAGTCAACGTACTGTGTATCTCAAACTGCCAGGAGATTCATTGGATTAGTTCACAGGCAGGAGGTGAGACTAAATCACTAAAGGTATCCTCAGCACGATGGGTGAGGTCATCTGCAGCCATGTCTCAGCCCTGACTTCAGCACTTGCTCTTTTCTTCCATTTCAGGGACTCAGATTATGAGGCAGTTCCTACTGCCAGAGCACCCCTGCTGCTGGTCAGCTGAAGTTTTGGGGTTTCAACTGCTAGCAAGCCCTGTTCAGTTCAAAAGCTGCAGGTTGGCTGTTCTTGACTTAAATATTTACAGATTCATTAGTAAGGTCAAAACCGACTTGTAAACAAGTCACCAAACTCTTTGGTGCCTGAATTACAATCCTCACCTACTAATTATTTGTGACAAATAACAGGAATAAACATGAGCTGTCCAGTTTTAAGTATGAAAACACCAACCCACTGGACAGTAAAAGGGGAGGACGGTGCCATATGCACGGCGAATAGTACTGAAACAGAGCCCCAAGTATCTGAGCCACAGTACTGCTGGAAAAACATTTGAGAGAGGATCCTTTCTGGAGCACAATATGACTTGGATTGCACATCCTCAGCAGATTTCTCAGCTGAAAGGTAAATAGTAAACAATAAATTCTCACTGGCCTTGCCTTCTGCACCTGCAGCAGTTTCACACATTGAAGCATGCAAATGCAGGAGGGATTGGCATACACTGGTTTGTCAAATTTTGCCCCTTTCCCTCAGTTCTGGCTGTATAAACAGACTTTTTTCCCTTTGTCGAATGCAGTGCTGGAGCTTTCAGTTCTAACAGACCTACATGGTTACATGAAAAAAAAACAGCTTTTAGTCAGCTTCATGTCAAACTGCTCATTTTGCAAGTCAGGCCTGCTAGGAATTTGTCTCTGTTTAAAGGGAATTTCTCAAACTGTGGTTCGTGAGCAGATTCCTGGATGGCTGCATAAGGTAGATATATTCCAATGCCATGTAATTTTACCACAGCTCTGTTTACAGGCTGAATCATGACTATTTTGAATAGTAACCTTTTTAGAAGGGAGTTTAAAAATGTACTTTTATGGTTCCTCTAATAAAAGGTTTCTAAAAGAAGCTGTAGTACCTTTAGCAGCCAAAGGCAATCAAGCTGTTTTTTATTTAAAAAAACCAAACCCCAAACCACTAAAATAGAATATAGCATCAGTTAAATGCTCCTCCTCTTTGATGACTAAAACCATTGTGAATTATTGACCAGCTCTTTCCTTGATTGTGTGCTGGTTTTTTTTCTGTCGTGGTTTAACCCCAGCCAGCAACTAAGCCCCATGCAGCCACTTGCTCACCACCCCCCTGGTGCGATGGGGAGAGAATCAGAAGAGTAAAAGAAAACTCATGGTTTGAGATAAAGACAGTTTAATCGGGAAAAGGAAAGCTGCTTACAGGCACAGCAAAACAACGAATTCCGTCACCACCTCCCAACACAGGGAAGTGTTCAGCCATCTCCAGGACAGCTGGGCTCCATCACTCACAATGGTTATTTGGAAAGACAAACACCGTCACTCTGAACATCCACCCCTTCCTCCTTCTGCCCTCAGCTTTATATGCTGAGCATGATGCCATATGATATGGGGTTTCCCTTTGATAAGGTGGGCTCAGCTGCCTTGGATGTGTGCTTTCCCAACTCTTTGTGCAGCCCGCTCGCTGCAGGGTGGTGTGAGGAGCAGAAAAGGCTTTGACTCTGTGTAAGCACTGCTCAGCAATAGCTAAAACATCCCTGTGTTATCAACAGTGTTTCCAGCACAAGTCCAAAACATAGCCTCATACCAGCTAACATGAAGAAACTTATCTGTACCCCAGCCAACACATCAGAGTTTCAAATGAAGCATGTTGTTCTAATACTAACTCTGGATAAAAAATGTTTTTTCAGTTAGTCTGTGATTGCATCAAGGATGAAACAATACAGAGAGCTGAGCATGTTCTCCACCAAAGGTTGGATTGTTTATTTTCTGGGTGCAAATGTAGCTTACATATGTAAACTAGAAAGAGGGAGAGGTTGTGGTGGGTTTTTTTCCTATTATTTTCAGGTTACTGTAGGAAATTTTGTTATAAAAGTCAAAAGCAGCCTATCAGTTATAAAAGGTTAATGTGACCCTATGTAGCTTTCTTCCTTGGTAAGAAGAGATTATTGGTTTTACTTAAAAAGATTATGTTCATATCCCAGGAAAAAGATGAGACAAGAATGTAATAAATACATTCCAAACATTTTTTTTCCTAAAGTAAGAGTAGAAATCTCCTGAACACTTTATAAACAGTTAGTAGGTTTTAATAGGGAGAGAAAGATACTGATTTTCTTACATATGTGAGGCTTTAATTTTTCTTGTTATTTTACTTCCCCATCACTCTGGAAGTGTCTTCTTCCTTGCTTTTGCCGAAACATCTGTTATATTGTTTTTATCACATGTAGAAGGTTGTGGTGATTAGATCAGTATAAAAAGTATTTTTTTCTCCAGATTGTTTGTTTACTGAAGCTATAAATGGGCTTCATAGAACTGCCAATAGGTTATTAAAATGAGAGATTTAAGACCTCTCAGTTGTTCATTTTCCTTCTACCATGTCTTTAATCATGTCTCTGCCTTTCCACTCATGAAATAGTCTAGGCAAGACAAAACATCACTTTCAAACTCAAAATTTTTCCCCTAGAATGGCACCAAATCCCAAAGTAACAACCCGCAAAGTTGTTTGGTTTGTTTTTTTTTTTAAAATTCTCAATTTTATTGATGAGCCTTCAAAATTTCCAGTAAACGAAAATACCTTCTGTTTCACTCCTTTGCCCGTGGATTTAGAGCAGAGCCATATAACTAGGTCATTCGTGTCACACTCTCCTCCTTGGCATCTGCCTTAACAGTGAAACATGGGCATCTCTTGCTATTTATTTGTAATCGAACACACATGGGCGGATGTAATAAGCTTCTTATCAGTTTGGAGGTTTGATAATAACAAATAATTGTCAGTGTGATCATACTTGTGGTGATTGGAGCAGGTAAATAATCAGCTAAATGAGGTTTAGAAGTAGGTTATTAGAGTGTATTGCCTCTTTTTGCGTTACAGAGCTACCTTCCCTTGAAATATGCTGCCATTTTTAACTAAGAATGACAGCAGGTCCCAAGAATTGGGACTAAGCATGAATGAAGCTTTCTTAAATATGCAGTCTGGTAATGTATGCATCACCATCTACTCTGTATTCTAAAAGTAACATGTAGATTTGAGACTTCTAAAGAAAATTAATTGAATTTCTCATCACACCTACTAAAACCACCCCACTCTATGGCCTTCCAAGGAGGAAAACTGCGTGTGGAGGCATTATGTACCTTCGTTAAACTTCTGATTATAGACAGTGTTTGGATACCTCTTTTCTGAGAATGTTCAAAGCTTTTATGTAGAAGGCAAGAGGAAGGGAAAATCTACACAGCAGGGCAGCTATGATATCAAGAGTCACTCTCATAAATTAGTCACTGAGCTTACTTATTTTTTAACTGTTTTTTCCAGGTCCTCCCACTATTCTATGGGCAGTCGAGCTTTTTCCCATGACAGTGTTTTTATACCTGATGGGAGAACAGAGAGCGAACAGGCCATCCAAGCAATGTCACAGGAGAACGTTTTAGGAAAAGTCAAAACTCTTCAGGTAAGAAATTGTAAATGGGAGAAATTGTTTAAACTGTGATGGAAAATGGTCTCCGGAGCGTGTTAAATGTGGATAAAGGTGGGTTGCTTTTACAACAGCCATGGGCCAGTTTCTCCTCCATTTAAGTTGTCTGGCCAAAACCCATGGAAATAATTTGGATAAACTGTAGCAGATCTAGGTTTTGGTCTTGAAAGGTACATCAGGGATGTCACAAGCAAATCTGCAGCAATGGCTGCATCTTGTGGAACTCATTTGTATTGAACTCATGGTTTTGACATGTCCTGATCTGTATGCCTGAGACCTACAGAGGTACTGAGTGAAAAAATGAGGGTAGTGTTGGTGGCAGCGAATGGCACACAGAGTAAGACAGCTTTGCAGAGCTGTTATAATTATCATGGAATCATAGTTCTCATCTTTTTCTCCCTGTCCTTTCAATGGTGTCATGAAAGATGTGTCTGTGTATCTCTCCAAAGCAAACACATACATACATAAACACCACAATCAGGTATTTGCTTCTAAAGAGCTTTTATATGACCTCTTTTCCCTTCTTTTCCAGAACTCTGTCCAATTAGTGTTCTAATTTTTGCTTTACTTCTCGTACGTTTGTAAGATGCCCATCACTATGTCTTTTGCCTTTCTAGACCTTGAAAGAGCTGTCCTTCAGAAGCATGTTTCAGTTTATTGCTCAGGATGCTGGCATGTCCTGTCAAAATGCTGATAAATTTTTAATGCTGTGCAAGTGCTGTTACCCTGTAGCCAGCTAGTAAAATACCACTGATTTCTTTTACCTCCAAAATCTACTGATGGTCCATCTTTTCTGATGACTGAGAGATCATGCACAGTAGACAGATTCAACCTTGAGGATTAAATTGCTCTTTCTTCTTGCCCAGTGCTGTCAGCAGACAGAGCACCTGAATAGGGTTGTCTGTGCTGACTGTGGATATACTTTAAAGTAGAAATCACACTAGGACGGCTCCAATTTCTCTGTGTTGGTTTTTCAGCTTAAATTTCCCTGGGTCAGGTGGATTTGATGCATACTACTTTCCAGGCTAGAAACCATTGTATTTTAAATGGTTGCTGACTCTGGGCAAAGACAAGAGGTAGTCAGACCTGCCTTGCAAAATGCTTCAGTGTCCTTTGGGTACAAAGCCAGCTTACTTTCTGCTGAGAACAGCCTGACTTCTTGTCAACATCCAATAGCTTTTGTGTATCCTGAAGTTATTTTGTGTTGCTTGAAGCCATCTGCCTTGGTAAAAGCAGCCTTTTCCTTGTCCTTTGGATCTGCTGAGATATAACTAGTTTTTAAGATCCGGTGTAGAAAGCCAGCCTGAACCTGTTAAGGGATGGTACCCAGGCACTGGTACTCTTAACACTGAAGTAATTTTCTTTCTTGGGATCTGGTGCTTGAGATCTGGATACAGAACTGTGAATAATACACAAGGAATGTTTAAAATGTAAATGTAGCAGTGTGTAAAAACTAACCTGAAAGAAACTCTGGGAGCATGTTCTTATATCCTTCCCTTTCTCAGGTTAGTGGATTGTTTTTTTTTACTTCATCAAAGTGTGTTAGAACCGCTTCCTTGCACTTTGCAGCTGTGACTCTTCTTCCTACTAATGATAGTTGCCAGACATTGTCAGCAAATTAACAGAAGAGTTGCTGTTTCAGACCCAGAAGAACTGTAGTATGTAAAATGGAAACTTGTTTGAGCGTTAGTGTCTTCATACATCTAAGCCTTTATCTCCCTTTTTCTGTGACTTAGCTGTGGTGTGGCACTGCTGCTGCCTCTCAAGGCCTGGGGACAGCTTGTTCTCTGCCTCTTGCCTTCACTTCAAGTATCTTGGATCACCTGGCATCCATGAGGCTGTGGCAGTGAGCTGCAAGAAACATTAAGTGTTGACTATGGCATACGGCTTATTGCATTAGCAACTACTGGGCTACATCACCTCTGTTTTGTGTGGCCACGTGGTTTAAAATAAGCAAGCCCTCTGCTCTGTAAATCTGTAAAACATCCACTTCTTACACAGATATTAATTACGGTAAAAAGTATTGGGAATCCAGACTTGGTCAAATTACAAAAGACCACTTTTTAAATTCCCATTTCCCTGGCTTTGAAGTGATGAATGTCCCCAGTCATTTTCTTCCTGTCAGACCTAATGGCTGTTTAGTTTTGGATGCCATTTCATGTACATTAACATATCTTAGCTTATGATCAAGCTGGTGCATCCCCTACTGTGCATTGCACATCTGTATTCTACCAGGCATTCCGCTTTCTGTTTGATATTGCCCACATCTCAACAAAGCTACAAAATCATTTATTAAACCTCAAAGCTGTTATCTCTTAACTCCATGCTCTGCATTTTATGGAATTGGGAGCGAATTTTCAATGCATGATTACTCAGCTTTTTATTTCTTGCAGTTAATTTCTTTGTTGCAAATACCTTCTCGTGCCACTGCAGCCTAACTGTTTTCTTCATATTTGGCAATTGTTTTAAGTTTATAAACTGAATTTTTTTTTTTTTCCTTAATCATTATAGCATTTCTGGGTCAGAGCCCCTTTTCCCCATGATACAGTAAGGCCTGTAAATGAGCTTCCATTTTTCTTACTTGCATCTTTGCTTTTGGAAGTCTCAGGAGAAGACTCAGGTAGCAAATACTACAGATACTATAAATAACTTCAGGCCTCTCCAGAAAGTCTTGCTCTTAACAAATGAGCAGCTCTAAGCGGTCCATTGCCATTGTATATCAAAATCTCCATTTGCATCTGGATTTACTGCAAGCACATACCTCTAAAGAGCCATTTACAGGTCACTTCTTCAGCATTCTTCCATTTTGGATACTCCCCAAATCTTTCTTGAAGTTTAATACCACAAAACACATGCTGCTTCAGCAGTGGAAAGTGGAATAGTTCCCTCCCTGACCTTATATCCAAAACGTCTGTGGTAACACTTTCTTCTTTTCCTCCTTTTCAGTAATTTTACATGTTAATTTTACTTCTAGTCCACTTTCTAAAGCCTCCAGCTATTCCAGTATAACTTCTAACATTACATTATACTTTCCAGTTTATTGTCTCTCTTTGATAGCAACAGGGAAAAAAAAAAGCTTATGAGGGGTGTTTTGCTCATTTTGATATGCTACAGATTTTCCTATTTGGATAAAGAAGTGGACTCACTTCTGTAGAAAGAACAATTAGGTAAGCTGTCTTTTCAGCCAAGAGAAAAAATTATAAGAGAGAAAATATGACAGAGATGTCTGAAATCATGAGTGGAATTGAGAAAATGAATAGAGGACAATCATTCAGTCTTCCACAGTGTGAGAAATGTGAGCATCAGTTGAAACTAGTAACACTTTTAAATGAAAACAAACATTTCTTTACGCATAGTTGGACTGCAGAACCCATTGTCATACAGCACTGCTATTCATGAAACATTTATGAAAGCTCAAAGAGCGATGAAAGAAAAGTTCCCAACTGGCCATTGGCTCCAAAAGTCCTCAGAGGCCACAAGTCACTGGAGTGTTTACAAGGGAAATCTCAATACGGACTTGCCTTCTTGTGTATTCCCAGGGCATTTGATTTTTGGGTCACTCTGAGGGACTGTACAAGCAGAAGTGGAATTTCAACAATATGGTTCTTAGGACAAGTATTACTGATATGTCATGATTTCACAATTTTACATGACTAGAAAACATAATTTCATTTATTTTTTTATATCTAGGCATTGCAAACATATAAAAAAACCACATATCTGAGTTGAAAGCAAAATACAACCAGCAATCCTTGTAAGACTTGTTTCAATGGAATCAGCTGAAATAGTACACTCTGTTTTAACGATTTTTAACTGAACGGAGCCAACAGCTCAGTGGATCCGGTTTTGGATTCACTCCAGGCAGAGTCATAAGAATGATGTGGTTTCAGGGGGCCGAATCCCACATGCATGCAAGCAGGCATGTACACAGAAAAGGAGCCAAATTGGAGTGAAACAGGAGATGTACAGCCTGATCTGGGCTCTCTGCCGGTAAATACGGAAAGTTTGTTCTGTGGCATTTCCTATGCAAACACAAAGAGTGCTTTGAAAGTCTAAGCTTTTTAATTTGCTGCAGGTGCCAACCAATGCAGAGTGATTTAACCTAGGAGTTTGATTTCTGAAATTATTAATGGTAAGCTTGTATCACATTTTAGCAAATTATTTTACGTGAAATAAAAGTGGGCCCATGTCATGATGCAGTTACTGAGGGAGATTATGAAAATTGGATGAGTGCAAACTTTGGGTTTTTTTTCCTCAATTCCCTTTGCCTTTATTAGGTGTGCAGTCCTGCCCCTCACTTCACACTGAATGGCATCTCACTGATAGCCACACAAATTGGGTGTATATAAAGAAATTCTTAGGCACTTCCTGAATCTCATTGAAAAAAAGCTGGGGGTGAGGTAAACCTGGTCTGGAGCACAGCTTGATGATCCCGTTCTGGAGCTCCCCTGTGTGCGCTTCCTCCAGCTGCTGTTTCATGGTATAATTGTCATATGTGGTAGCCATGCATAGCAAATAATCCTCCTTGTCAGCCGTCATCCACGTGCTGTCTGCACAGGGAATTCTCAGGTACACAAGATTTATAGTTTTGTGTTCAGAAATCTGTGATTGTCTGAAACTTTTGAGACATTTAAAGCAGATGCTCCTTTTCAGGGAATATGGCCTCTTCTCAGTGGTCTTGCAGCTGAAATTGATGTATCTCTCCATCTCTTGGGTTAGAATGTCTGTGTGTGCTCTTCCAAGTAAAAGCTGGGGGTGTTTTTTCTTTTTTTGGGTTTTCCTTTTTTAGGGTTTTTATGATTGAGCAGGTAGAGAATGCTTCTGTATAAATTTTTCTGAGAGAGGATAATTGCACTGTAGTTCTTTCAAAAGAACAAGGAGCAGGTTTAACATTGCTCTTTGAAAGCAATGAGAACAAATTTTCTCTGCTATTTGAGATTCTAATATCTGTTATTTGGCATCAGCTTTAGGGACCTAGAAAGTACTAAAAGAAACTGGTCAGTAGAGAACTATCAGTGGAGCGTTTTTGTAAGCTACATTTCTTCAAAAAAGGCCAAAAATAAATCATACAGAGAAGAGCCTTCTGTCCTGGAAGGAATGTGAGGGCTACTGGAGCTTCGTCTTCAGTCTTCAAGCTAATTTATTCAGGTTTGAGCAAACAAATTTTTTAAACGTTGAAGTAATTTAAAAATGAAGCAAAAGCACACAAGCAGCTGTGTACAGTCCGTAAATATTGAGGATGGTCTATTTCCTGGAAATATCAGCAAAATGACATTTTAAACTTTTATGTACACAAATATGCAATTTTACAGCAAAGTCCTCTTGATGACAATTAAGCATCCTTGATGACAATTAAAATGGCCATTCTTTTTCAAACACAGACCATTCTCCACAATAGCTCCATCACCACACAGCTCCCACCACGCATTGCACATGAACTAGATCAAGAACTTGATCAGAAGATCAAGAGAACAACACATTATCTCTTCTTCCGAAACACGTTGCAAGCAATATGTACATGTGTGCATGTTCTCACCTTGGAACGGGTGCATGAATCCTCAGTTACTTGGGTAGTGGCTCAAGAAATGCAGACAGTTCCAGGTTTTTTGTCTGGGAGAACTAGGAATATGATTTGAAGAAGAAGAAAGGAGCAGCCTCAACTTAGAAAACATGGTATCAAATGAAGCTTTTCTGAAATAATTTGCTACTATTGTCAGAGGGCCTGCGGTAATAGAGCAGGATTGCAGCCATCACACTATCTAATACAGATCTATTGCCCTCTCCAGGTCCCATTTACACAGTGGAAACATAAGATTTCAAGTCAGAGAGGTGCACTGCTAACATGAATGCCATGTTAGGAAGACTTGGTGAAACCCTTGCCTTTAGACTATGAGTGCACTGCCAGTAATCTAGGCAGGAATAAATCTTTACCATTCATAACTGCCCATTATGCCAAAATTAGGTACTATATGAATTTCATTACTTTCTGCTAAAATCCAAATGGGCACAAGTAATGTGCAACTTAATGAGAGGACTGAGAAAAACTACTCTAATTTAATAACCTGATCTAAGGAGTCTTTACATGTACTTTTTTGTCTTAATAGTTCTCAATACAGAAATCTGTCTCAACACAGAAATCTGGTAATGTTTTGGGGGAATATGGATAAACTTTATGTAAAAGTCTAGTCCACTGGGCGATAATGGCAAGTGAGACTGATCTGACCTGAATTTTTTTAGAAGTCCATCTGTTGCTACTAAAACATATCTTCCCTTGCCAACAGCTCACCTAAGCCATGCTACTGATTCAGTGCTACAGGAAAAAATATAATTGTTCTACATGCTTTCTGCTCCAATGTTCTGCAGTTCTCAGTGGCAAACTCATGGCAGGGGTCCATGTGTGTACCTGACATTTCCACTGAATAGAAGCTGCACAGTTGAATGGAGTATCGCTGAGCTGTAGATGTTCGTAGTAATACAAGACAGAAATGGGAGATCTCATTTGGAGAATTTTCTGTGTTTGAAAGAGAGTAAATCAGGAAAATAACTCCACAGTGCCTGCCTTCCTAACTGAGAATGATTCCCTGAAGTATTTCAGGAAGATAATCTATCAGTAAATGTTCCTCACTCCATTTGCTTCTTCTAGAGAATTTCTTCTAATTCTTTTGCAAAAAGTTCACTTTCAAAGACTGTGGTATGTCTCTGCAGTAGCCAGGGCTGTAATTTTTCTCATTTACCCCATCAGAGGACAGATATTATATGCTACTTATTTTACTCATCTTAGGCTTGATATAATTTGAGAGTACTTTCTTGTGACCCTTAAGAGAAGATTACTTCAAAGAGGAAAATAAATGGTGGAAAAGCTCTTTAATCCATTCATCTACTGCATGTCGCCAGCATGAACTTCTTTGTGCAAAAGCAGTGGTGTGGCAGTGCACGTGAGCATGAGCAGACATGAATTTCTGGGTTGTTCCTATGAGATCAGGCATCTAAAAGAAGCTGGGTTTCCCCTCCTTTGAGAATTTGCCTCCTCTAAGGCAGGGTTAAACCAAACCCTTAACATTTAAAACTAAACATTACAATAAGGATATCTTTAGGAACTACAGTTGCATGAGATGCAGGATTTGGGGGGGGTGGAGAAAAGTGGCTTTTAGGGGCAGTTGTAGTTTCTCAGCGTACACTTGGCTCATAATCTTATTTCTCTGTAATGGCAAGCTATCATAACTAGTTTTTTTAAACAAAGTCTTAACCTAGGACATAGATTTAAAAGAAGAGAAGGTAAGTTTCAAAATTGACAGGAAGTTTGCCAAAGTTGGCAACACTGACAAGAACTCAAGTTGATCATCCAAAATTGGAAATTATGCAGTAAATTCTTGACCTTGTTCACTTTGCAGGGAGGAAGAACTCGGGGTGCCCATCATGTTGCAGCAATATAAACCTTAAGTTGATTTCTTTGTCCAGTGTCTGAAAGCTTTCAGGTGGAGGAGGAGTGTGTGCTAGACTTAGCTTGTTTTGTTCATAATAGAGATACCTTTTTATGTTGGTTCTTCTTTTTTTGTTTTTCAGCAACAGTTGGCCAAGAATATAAAATTTGGGCAGCCTCCACAAATGACAATTTCTGTGAGGACAATGGGGGAAGCAAATGCTAGTATGGAAGAGGATGTGTTGGTCGGTAGCCCCATGGAGCTTGAGACTCAGCAGAACACAGTGATCTCAGACAGTGGTAAAAAAGTAAGCACTTTCAATTGAGGTGTTCATGGAACTATAGCAGCACTAAAACAGTAAAGATCATTGGGGCGTAGCAGGTGTCTCCAGCAAAGCGTAGCTGAACTCAGCAGGCTGTTTTATGTGGGTAGAGTCTTTCAGCTTGTGCTTCTTGGAGTGGTGAGGACTGTGTGCTCTTGGCATCCTGAGCCGGGTCCGACAACTACTGGTTTGAATGTCTGCTCTGAACTGTCAACAATGCACTGTATCACATCTCTCGCAGTGTAGCTATAAGGCGGGAAAATTTTGAGACAGAAAATGTCCTGAAATATGGACTTCCCAGCATGGAAAGTTGTGTACAGCATCAAACAGCAAAAAGGGAAATCATTCCAAAAAGGGAGGGGTCTGGAGCTTAAACCTGTAAGATCCTGGGCCTTAGGATAAATATCCATATTTCTCATGGAGAGGAACCAAAGACAAAGAAAGGGGAGAAACATTTTGAGAGTGCTCCCTAGACCTCAGTGTCCAGTGTAATTCAAATAACTATTTGAATTATCATGAAGGTTTTGATACCAGGAATTATGGACATTCAGATGTCCAGAAAGGTCTTGTTCAGACAGCAAAGATACATTATAAGTGACGGAAGCTCTCTGGAAATCCTCCAAGCAAAACTGGTTCTGTGTGTCACTGTAATGGCTCATAGGAGCTCAGGGCACAGAGGGACATCCTTACCTGCCTGGAGGAGGCTGACTTTGCGCCTGGGAACCTCTGGGAAAGGCACGCAGCAATTCACAATGTACATGCAGCCCTTGAGATCCTGGAGGGGTACTGGGACATGAGCCTCCACTCCAGTTCACTAATGCTAGTGCTAGCTGTGTGAAAGGCAGAGGCAGTAACTGTCCTCTGCAGCTCATGCTTATACACACAAAAGGGAGACTTATGGCTGAGGTGGCCCAAATTCTTCATCCCTCTTTAAGTGGAAACATAGCTCCCCTGTGACCACTTCCTTCATGGCTGTGGTCAGACATGTCAGGGAGCCAGGCATTTGGGCTGGACCTGCACACTCACACCTTTCAGCAGTCTGAAAGGACAAAAATGAAGCCAAAGTAAAATATACATTTTCTGCTTCACAACTACTCCCTTCTGAAACAGTTAAGGTGTATCAACAGCATCCTGTGCATCTCAGAGAACAGAGTGCAGCGGGGCTGCAGACAGGTTTTGGCTATGTACCCTGGTATGAGGCCAGGGTACTGTGTTTGACACCAATACAGATTCTCTGCAGACAGACTTCTTGCTGGGTCCTGCAGGAGACTGATCACTTACTGACCTCCAGCTAGAAGGAGAAACTCATTCAAGCACTAAAAATCCACTGGAGTATCTTTGTGTAATGAGGAAGGAGGCAGTCCTTACCACCTAGTCTTTTAAATATTAGGTTTTAAAAGCAAAATGAATGTTCCTTTGCATAATTCTTTTTCCAAATACTGAAGGAGCAAACATCCCTACTCAGAGGAGGCTGCAGACGCAGACAAACCAACACTACGTGCATAGGGTCAGCCAGAGCACTCTGTACTTTCCTTTCTCTTTCCATGCACTACTCATTACCTGCTTTATAAGAGTTTTCTGGTGCACAGAAGCTTCCCTGGTTTCTGCTCCTGTCTCTGCCATTGGCCTTGTAACTTCCTTGTTTGTTTATCTGCGTAGGTCCTGAGAGTATGGGGTAGCTTCTGTTACGAGATGGTGGTCAGGACCACACAGCACTGCTCTGCTTCAAACAGGTTTCCTGTGTTGCTTTGTGACTTAGGATTTTCCTGAGTAACTTGGATCAATGGCAAGAGCTCTGGGTTTCACCTAACCTGTATTTGTAAAGCTGGCTTTTTAGGCTTTACACCAACAATCATGTATAGCTGGTGTAATTGGTTCACACCCTTCATTAAGTTATGAACTAATACCATGATGTAATGATTAAAAACAGTGCTCCTGGGCATGATGAATGCTGCTTCAACCCCTGTGCCTTAAAAGTCACCTTCTGTGAGGCGGCTTGGAGAGGGAGGGTAGCTAAGGAGTCACAATGAACGACAGGCTTCAATTGATGGAGGGGGGCTGGTTTGCTTTGTAAGAAGAGGAGACCTCAAGAACCTGGAGTTGAAACTTGTAGCAGAGGTAATGTCTGATGAGGTCCCTATAGTTTTTCTTTAGGTGCAGGTCAGAAAAAATGAACTTGGTAAGAGCTGATTGAAATCCTACAAAGCTGTGCTCTTTCTTTTCAATTGCAACCTGGTTTTTGTGTTAAGGAAACATGAGTTTAATGCCCTTTGTAGTGTCTTGTAGTAGCAACTGCTTCTGTATAGAAAGCAGTGATTCAAGGAGCAGCAAAGATAAGCTCACAGCATTTAGGAACTGTTGTGTGTCTGTCAATCCCAATACAAGAGACAGGGTAAAAATCCTACTCTAACATGCACGCTTTCATAAGTCCTTTGAAGCATGTTTACTAGATTTTTTTACATTTTAATATCTGTCTGTGGTAATCTTGGTTTTTAGTCTCATGACACTCCGGCTTTTTTGAGAACAATGACTTTGCCTGCAACTGCGTATGAACTGGAAGAAAAGGTAAAAAAAATGTTTACACTTGGTTTGCACTGAGTTACTTTCTAATTTTAGTTATTAAAAGCCTGACAGTCAGTTGTTGCTTTAATACATGTTTCATTCTTTCATTGATCATACAAGGTTTTGTGAAGGTTACACACTCTGGGGGCTCATAATAAACAATAACTAAGATTGAGAAATGTGTAAGAGTTGATTGCAGGAAACAGCAGTCTCTGCCAGTCTTGCAGCATTCCTGTATTTGATGTATTAATCATAGAGCCATAATTTCCATAAGTACTTCTACTATTTTGTTATGCCTACATGTAATTCAATAAGCATATGCAAAATATTCCATCAGCTTTTAAGTAATTGGCTTCCCAATTAGCATATGTTTAACCTCAGAAGATTACAGAGCTGTCTTGAAAACAATGTGTGTGATTTTCTTTCCTTACGGAAGATGTTTTCTTCTTCTTTTATTTTTTTTTCTGTCTTCTTTTTCTACTTGGACTGTGCCAAATACAAGACTCAGGATAGTGGCTGAGTGACTTACGGGAGAGACTGATGACAGGCTCACTTGCATGTCTAGACATACAGTTCCAGAGAATTATTCATGAGAGGAGTCTCACTAAATCATATTGCTTGTATTTGCACTTTCTGAACCCAAATATTTGAAAGCCAAGAGAAAAAAATAACCAATCAAAGCCAGGGTTGTCCTAGTTTATTTTTTGCTGTCCTTCAGTGCTAGCTTGGACAGCTCCATGTGACTGTGGAGGGAAGGTTTTCTGCAGGCACTTTGCCAGTCTGAGACCCAGTACCGCAGTCATCTCCCATGCAGATAGTACAGCTCTGTAGTTGTTCTATTATACTGCTTAGATAAGTCAGTCTGATTTGCTCTTGCCTAAAGTGCATAATCTAAATTATTTAGAGATATTTTTTCCACAGTAAGCAAACTTTAAAATGTCCCAGTGTTTGATGTTGCTTAAAACTCTGCCTCTGTCCTTCCCATTCCCAACAACTTCAGAGTGGAGCTAAACTGTGAAAAAACCTTCACTTAGAACGGTCTAAGTAATTTTTATGTGGAAAGTATTAAAATGCGTAGTCCTGGGAACCTAAAATATTACAGCTGTGACTTTCATGTCCAAAGTTCATGACTTGTATAATGGAAAAATGGAGCATGAAAACTTTTCTGCTAATAATTCCTTTGAATTCAAAAATGGCAAAGGCTTTTTGTATGTGTGTGTTATTTATTTATTTACTTTAAATGGAACAGCTAGCTTAATAATAGCTTTGTGTGTTTATGGTACAAACAGGTCACTCCAGTCAAATCATCTCGGCCAAAAAGACAATTTTCCTGTTCTGGCACAATTGAAACAATCAATTTGGATGCAGTTCCTCAGGCTGTTGCTCGTCTAGACAACAGTGCAGCTAAACATAAGCTGTCAGTAAAGCCAAAAAAGCAGAAGATATCAAGGAAGCACAAGAGATTAACAAAGGTATTGAACCACTGGTCAAACGGGGGGGAGCTACTTTTGAAGCTGGGTACCATATAACTGTAACAGAGTGCACCAGGAGTAGCTACAGGCAGAGGACTGTCCTAAAATATGATTAACACTGTCAGAAAAGATGCCAAGAAGTTTTAATATAGCCAGTTGAGACAAATACTGTTTACAACTTAAGTACTTCCACTAGATTTTACACTTGGAAAACTTTATGGTTCTAGTTTTTATAGTAAAAATTTAAGGGCATAAAGGTCTGAATGATGTCTGCCACTGCTAATTCTCCTTGGGTGCAGTAAAACAGACAGTGCAAAATTTGCTTGGGGAAAAACAGGTTCTCTAAAACTGGCATGGGTTCTGACAGTGCGAATATCATTGTCTTGTAAGAGAGGGTTAGACTTGAGTAACACAGCTAACTTAACAGTAAGTTACTGGATTCTAGCTTTGAACACTTACTGCACAGATATTTTGGTTTTTATCCTGACATCTTATTAGTGCTTGTAAATGGGACAAGATTGTTCAACTGATACAGGGTTCAAGAGAGGCCACTGTCCTTTCTTCCACACCATTGTACTTGCATGTATCATTCTTGCAATGGAGAAATTAAATTAAAGCCTCTTGTTCATACAGAATATTTAACTGGAGCCAAATGATGGCTCAACAAATGATAGCTAGACAAGCCATTAGCTGATATGTTTTCCTCAAGGAAAGTGCTGGGAAGGAATCTTCAGGTGCAGATCATCTTACAGAATGACTACAGAGGCAAGGAGTAACCTATGAAGGTAGTCAGCAGTCAGTTTATCGCAGTTATTGCACCCACAAGCCAGGGCTGCGGGGCAAGCACAGACAATCAGTCAGCAGCTAGCATGTGCCTTAGTAGAGCACAGTATTGCCAGTGAGCTCTAGGTTCTCTGCCCATGCATGGTCTCATGGTTGATGCAATAGAACTGGAGCCTCAGCACACCTAATGAGGAAGATAAACTGGCTCAGGATTTGTGAAAAGCAACCAAATTGTGTTTCCCTGAGCAGTGTTCTTTCCTGGCTAGCATCACAGAGCTCTTTTCTGCAGGCAACAGCTTCTGTCTCTGCAAGTAGCAGCTAGATCTGCCATGAAAGAACTGGCAAAACAATGCCTGTAAGCACAGCTAATTATTTCAGGCTTAAAGGATGCAGTTCTATGTAGCAGAACAGGCATATGAAGCTTATGCTGTATTCCTTGGGCTCCTGTAAATTTGAAATGTCGGGTCTCAATCTGGATTAGCTCATGTACACCAAATGGTGATTCAGTATTTAGTGTTATACTGTTATCACTGTTGGAATGTTTTCTTTCTTTTAAAGGCTATAATCTGAATAGGTGAGAGCCATGGCATCTATGATCCATGAATTGGGGTGGGTGTGTTGGCTCTGGATCTGAGTCATCCTTTAAACAAAACAGAACAAACAAAACCCCCCAAAAAACTCCAAAAGTTGTTTCACATTTGCAACTGATTTTGTTTACTGTAGAGAACAATCAACAAGCAATATTCAGTAACTTCAAACTTGTCTTCCTATTTTAGGGATCACAAAGTTTAACAATAACAGAATTTGAACCAGATGACCTCGACATGCCACTGTATGGAGACAGATACCCAGGTTATAATGGACACATAGCAGACAAGCTAATTCAGAACAGAGATGAACAGAAGCAGCTTCAGCTGGCAGAGGAGAAAAGAATTGAAGATCACTGGGGGATCTTTGAGGCCGAAAGGATAAGGCAGATTGTAGAAATGGAGGAACAAAGAGAGATGGAAGAACAAAGGTGCCAAGAACTTGAGCAGATGCAGAAAGAGCAGGAGAGAAGGTGTGAAGAAGAGAGGAGGCAATATGTTCTCAAAGGAGAGACATCTTTGAAAGCAGAAGAGCAAACAAGCCATAAAGAGGAGACAAGACTGCTGGAGGCTGAAAAGAGGCAAGAGCTGGAGGGGCAGAGGCAACAGGAACTGGAGAAGCAGAAGGAGTTGGAAGAGCAACAGGGACGAGATATGGAGGAGAAGAAGCACCAGAAATGGGAGGAGGAACAGAGACGAGAGCTGGAGGAACAGAGGTGCCAAGAACTGGAGAAGAGGAAAAAGGAGCTGGAGGAGCAACAGAGACGAGAGCTGGAGGAACGGATGTGTCAGGAACTGGAGAAGCAGAGGCAGAAGGAGCTGGAGGAGCAACTGAGATGGGAGCTGGAGGAGCAACAGAGACAAGAGCTGGAGGAGCAGAAGTGCTGGGAACAGGATGAGCAACAGAGACAAGAGCTGGAGGAGCAGAAGTGCTGGGAACAGGATGAGCAACAGAGACAAGAGCTGGAGGAGAAACCAAGAGAGCTGGAGGAGAAACCAAGAGAGCTAGAGGAGAAACCAAGAGAGCTAGAGGAGAAAAAGACACAAGAGCTGGAGGAGCAGAAGCACCAGGAGAGGGATGAGCAACAGAGACAAGAACTGGAGGAGCAGAAGTGCCAGGAACAGGAAGAACAGAGGTGCAAGGAGCTGGAGGAGAAGCAGAGAAGAGAGCTGGAGGAGCAGAAGAGGCTAGAGCTAGAAGAATTAAGGCAACACGAGACTGAAAAACAGTGCCAAGAGGAAGAAGAAAGAAATTGGCTACAGCAACAAAAAGGACTCAAGGAACAAAATAAGGAAGAAAACCAGAGACAAGAGCTAGAAGAGAGAGAATCTGAAATAAAATTGAAGCAGGAGAAAGAAGCCGAGAGCCTCAAACAGCAGATGAAACAAGACGAACAAAGGCAGCACTTAAAGGAGAAAAGAGAAAAGACAGAGAAGGAACAACCCCAGCAAGTAATGGGTAAGAAAAAGAAACAGGAAGAACATAGAAAACACAGACTCACAAAACAAATGCACATGGAAAGTGCAGAGGGTATGCAACAGGATGAACTAAAGCAGCAAAAGGAACAAAATGAGCAAGAATGGAACAAGGTGGAAGAGCAGAAGGTAGACCCAGATGAACAAAATCTTCAGCAACACCAACAAGAAAAATCCTTGGAACAGCAACAGGACAAAGATCAGCTGTGTTCTGGAGAAGCTGATAGGCATCCGGTAGAGGAGAAGCTCCAAGAAAGCTCAAGATCCCCAAAACTCAAGCAGTCAGAAAAAGGGAATAAAACATCAGAAGAAGTCCTAGCCCAGAAACTGAAGAGAGAGGTTGAGGCTCAGGAACAAAAGCGAATAGGGGAAGAACTTAGGTGGCAAGAGGTAGATGAACGACAAACTGCATCCAGACCCTTCACATTTCAAGTGTCTTCTGGAGATAAACAGATCATATTTCAGAAAGTAAACCTGAGTCCAGTCATGCCTGTCAAAGGAGCAGGACTCTCTCCTACATCCGTCAAAGACTCCAGGGTGCACACTGTCAGCAAGGGCTCTCATACACTCCCGTCATCTGTGTGTGTGCCCCATACAGCTATTTTGGTTACTGGAGCACAGCTGTGTGGCACAGCAGTTAACTTGAACCAGATAAAGGACACGGCTTGTAAATCATTACTTGGCTTAACAGAAGAGAGAAAAAATGTGGATATTCCTTCACCAGAGAAGGCCCAGAAAAAAAAACAGGATCCCAAACCCAGCAGCAGCAAATTGAAATATGCACAAGAGACACTGAACAATCAGGCTGTGCTGGCTGAGTGGGCCTCCATCCGCTCCAGAATCCTAAAGAACGCAGAAAACAGCAAATACAACGAGCGGGACCGAGTGAGTGTCTGCAGGCACAGTGATGATTGGACACCCCGAGGACGCGGTGCTTCCCATGGCAACTTGAGGAAGACCCTCTCTGCTAATGCAAAGTTCTCCATAACACCTGCATGGCAGAAGTTTTCAGAAGCTTCAAAAACCAGTTCAGACGTTGAGAATGTGATTGCGGCAAAAGGCAATGAAACAGTGGCTGTGGGAAGAATCACTGGCTCATCCACTGATTCAAAGGAGGATGGGGCCCCCACTTTTAAGGATAACGTAGCCAAAAAAGCTAAGGAGAAAATGGAATCCCATAGAGAAATGGCAGACAACACAGAAGGCTGTAAATTTGCAAAAGATCTTCCATCTTTCCTTGTTCCAAGTTTTCCTCATTCTCCAGGTAAAGAAGTATCCCAGCAAGAAGTTCAGGGTCCTCTGGAAAATCAGCCGAGTAACAGCACCAAAAAAACAGATAAACCAGCTCCAAATGGAGAAGAAAATGTTTCTCCTTTTGGGATAAAGTTACGAAGGACAAACTACTCTTTACGTTTCCATTATGATCAACAGGCAGAGCAGAGGAAAAAGAAAAGATACAGTGCAGGAGACAGTTTTGACGGTGTGCCTGACCCCTTAGTTACAACAGAAGATGAGAAAGAATCCTCTGTTTTTGCTTCGCAGGAGGGTACATCCCCTGGCATGGGGAGAGCAAATGTCCCTGCTAATATAAAAGACTCAAAAGACTCTTCAGTTACTGTGGTGGAGATTTCACATACAGCAGGCACACCAGCACTACCAGCCACCGGCCAGAGTGCTTTACCCCATCATGAGAAACCAGCATGCAAGTCACCGGTCCCACAGAAACCTGCTTTAGCTCCAAAGCCCACCAACCAGACACCACCATCATCTCCTCTCTCTAAAATGAACAGATCAAACCTAGCTGATACACTAGGGCAAAGGCTGGTTAAAGCTGAATCAGATGGTGGCTGGAGAAAAGAAGACAGAGCAAATGCAGTGCACCCCACACCATCCAATGAGAACAAAAATGAAGAGGAAGAAATCAGAGAAAAGAAGTCATTTTTCCCATCTATAAGTATTCCATGGAGAGAAAGAAATGACAAAAAGCCTGAGCCACTGAAGAAAGGTATGTATTTTTTAAAAGCCATTTAGCTATTGTCTGCATTTCCAAAATGAGATCCTGGAGATTCACAGGAAGACATTTGGTCTTAAGCTATAATTTTTACCTGGCATGTTATTTGTGGAATACCACTACTTTGCTGAGGCTTGTCTGAATGAATGGCACTTCCCATTCCCACATTCAGAAACACGCAGTGCAACCTGCTTAAGAGAATTAATTTCAAGGAGGTAACTGAAGTGTATGTGTTTTCCTTGGTAAGGATATTACAGCTTGTTAGTGAGAGGATAGACTCTGTGGGCTTCCACAGTGAGAACAATTGGCCATTGGAATAATCTCCACAGGGAACTGGTGAACTCCCCAGTATTGGACATTTGAGATTCAGCTGGACAGGGTGCTGGGCCCCTTTGTCTAGACAGTGCTTTTGCCAAGAAAGGTTGGACCAGGTGATCCTTGACATCCCTTCCAACCTGGACTTCTAGGATTCTATGATGTGTAATGGTGTCATCAGAGCAGAGGTAGTAAGTTTTATAACTTACATTGTATTGTTTCTATTTTTTAGGGGAATATTATCTAGTGTGGAAAATATCAAGATCTAGGTCCCCTTATAGTGCCTATTCTGGGCAAATTGTCTATCTAACCCGATATAGCTGAGCACAGGAGTCTGTGTTTCATAGGCACTCTTCAGTAATAGCAACAACTACAGTAGCCATAGTGGCTCTTCAGAGGAGGGTTGAAAGCCCTTTTGTTCTGAAATAATATTCTGTACTAGAGGAAAAAAACAGAGTAGTAAGAAGAGGAAAAAGAGGAAAAAATACCCTTTCGGTGTAAGGACAGTCAAAAGAGCAAGGCAGGAATTCTGCATTTAATTGGGAAATCCCAATTACTTTCTGTTCTTGAATTTTGCAAGCATCAAGACACTTCTAAAACCATATTTCAGTGGAACTGCTGCTTTTTATTTTACAATTTCTACATGTTTTTCTCTCACTTCCATTTCTAAATGAGGATTTATGGAAAGTAGTTGGAGGCACAGTTGTTGACCTTGGAGAATAACTGAAGCTGAGGGTTTCAGTGCTCACTGTGCACCTTTGCACCCCAGTGCTGCTCCCTGCAGCTAACAGATCTATAGTGTGTTCTAGCCCCAGTTCCATGCAGGGTACAGAAAGCCAAATGCTCATGTGACAATTTAACACACACACCCGCCCCCCACAACATTTTTTTAAGAGCCCCAGCACAGGAGTACATCATTTCAGCCCCCTTCTTTTGGCTGAAGTTCAGATACTCTTCTTCCCTTAATTATAGCTGGAAATCCAGGGAAATTAAGTACCTATATAGTGGCTGGGTCCCTTTCATCAGAGTTACAAACAAGCAGTGCATATGTATCCCTTTCACTTAAATATCTCACACTATGCAAACATCTATAGTAAAATAAGGCTGTAAGTCTAAGTGTCTGAGGTAGGCTTTTTCACACACAAAGAAAGATAAATCTGGACAACTGTATGAGTGTGTTGAATTAGGAGTTGTTCTTGGGGCATAAAAACTGTTTTGGGATTTGACTTAGAGTCCATGGGGGTCTGTGAATGGCATGGCATTCTATGGGCTTAGCTCCAGTGTCTTCACAAGGTAGAATAGCTGTATGGGTTTGCTTGAGACAAGAGATGCGCATTGCTCAACCCATTCTTGTCATGTTTTCTTTCAGAAAAGCCTGTCCTCCAGAGCAGGCACTCTTTAGATGGCTCTAAGGTGATGGAAAAAGTTGAAACTTCACAACCGCTTTGGATTACATTAGCGCTGCAGAAGCAAAAGGGATTTCGTGAGCAGCAAGCTACAAGGGAAGAGAGGAGACAAGCCAGAGAGGCGAAGCAAGCAGAGAAGCTGGCTAAAGAAAATGTAAACAATCTTTAGAAACCTGCTCATTAGAAACACTGATACCATAATTATAACTGTTAGCTAGTTTTATTGCGTGAAAGGGGGTTGTTTTTATTTTTAATGTTTGGTTTGTAAGATTTCATAAAAGCTAAAACGACAGTGAGGAAAAAAAGTAGCCTGAAAGTTTGGAGTTTCCTTTGAAACTGGGACCTCCAGGAGAAAATACTGTGCAATAGTGTGACAATTTTAACATAAATTCTGATGCCTTAATAGCAGGTTTTAGTTACTGGCAGTCATAAGCATAACCACTGCGCAGGTGATGGAACAGAAGAATTGTATGCAACATGGTTTTTTCAAAGATTGAGTAAATAAGATGTTAACCCTTAATGCTTGGGAATAACAGCTAGATTACTCACTTATAGGTGAATATTAGTAAGCTTGAATTTATTTTTATTGTAACCTATTATTTGGATAAAATGCAGATGAATGAAATGAGCCATCATGTGACACATCCAAATGCCTAAAGCAAGCACTGAATTCAAGGATCACTTCTTCCTGTTCTCCAAATAGCTATTTACTACCGGTGGTTTTCTATTAGTAAGAAAAACACTTCCACTTACAGTAGAGAAGTGATGCTACACAAATAGTGATGCTGCATAAAGATACCACAGATAGTAAAAAGGGAGATTATGTTGATAACTAAATATATTTTGATGTTTTTATGAGATCCAAATTTCTGAAGGACATGTGCAGAATTGCAGACACAGATAACTGGTGGAATAAAAGAGCAGTGGGTGTGAAGCTGCCCACAGGTGCACACTGTGTTTCAGTGTTGTCTTTAACAGGTACGGCTGGTTCAAACTGTTCAATATTTTGACTGAAATGACAACATGACAAACATAACTGTGGGTTGGGTGTGTTGTTTTTTTTTTTTTACAGTCTCTAATAACTGTTACTTTTAGAAGTATGAGAGTCTTTTGATCCTTTGCTGAAAAGGAAGGTTAAGGAAAGGACAGGTGGTGAATAAAAGCATCAAGTATGACATCTCGTACTTGTAGCCATTACATGAGAATTTCTCATTTACCAGGTTTTCCTTTCTTTTCTTTTCTAGGCTGCTCTAAGTAATCAGTCAGATAATAAAAGCAGCAGCAGCAGCAAAACAAGCACACTGCAGAAATCTACAACTCAAGAAGGGGAGAAGAAAATTGAGACTGCTGTGTCAAGGCTAGAAAGAAGGGAGCAGCTAAAAAAGTCAAACACCCTTCCGACTTCTGTGACAGGTACAGTAACAGATTCACTTTTACTCTGGGAATAATGTGTTACAGAAATGGTATTGCATGTTTCTGAGAAAGTGAAAGAATGATATTTCCCCCCAGTCATATATTATCCCTAAAATTACAAACGCATTTGCTTTCAGCCCAGAACAACACAACTTGTCCCTGTCTCATGTGTTGGCCATTATGCAAGAAGAACATAATTTTAACAGGTTTTTACAAGGCTCCACAGATTATTAAGGTTGCATTACTGCATTTCCTTAGAATTGCCTCAGTGCAGGCTAAAAAATTTAGGCAGTCTCCCCAAGCCATATCCAACAGTATTTTTGGAACATGACCAATGCACATTAGAGGGATTTTATTTACTGTAAATTGCAATTGCAGCATTGTTTTGCCTTTAGGTAGGCGTTTAGCAGAGGGGGAATGATACTTAACTGCTACAAAGTGTATTTTTGTGGGAAACGATGCATAGTGTGTTCCTACACCTTCCAGTTTGCCAAGAAGAAATAACTCACCCAAGAATATTTGCAACGAGTACTCTTGGTTAACTCAAAAATATAAAACCTAATCAATTCCCTAATCAAAAGCAAAGGTAGCCTGTCACTTTGAATTTTGGATTTCTCCATTCCAGTCAAGGACTTGGTATGGAAGGTTGGAACCAGAACCTACTATTTTATCTGTCACTTCAGTTAAGCTGAAACAATTCCATATTCAAAAAGCATGCACATTAAAATAAATACTTCCCCAAAGGGCATAATATTTGCGATGGTATAAGATGATTGTTGAAATAAAGACTTGTCTAATATTTCTCTAGCCAACGTTAATCCCAGGCAAAAGGTTTTGGACAAGACTACAGATAGGTGTTTAAGAAACCTTTTTCAGAGTTGCACAGTAAATAGTGTAGGCCTCTTTAAAAGTGAATTGAAGCTGATATGTATCAGCTGAATCTATTCAGTACCACTCCAAGCCAAGAACTGTGGAATGCAACTACTGAAACCAATGAGGTAATTTATTTATCTATCTGATCTATAATACTAAAGGCTAGATCCAAGGTATACTAAAGGTAGATCTAAAAGGGCTAAACCCTCATTATCCTTGGTTGGTCTGTCTGCACTAGAGTGAGAGTTTCAGGAGAAATGACTGATTTTGAATTACCTGAAGTGAAAGCATGGAACTGTGTTGGCCATAACGGAAATAGTGATTGGGTATCTGTGTGTTTACTGGCTACATTTAGAGCCAGGTAGCCATTACCAGCTATGCACCTACATGAGTATTTGTTTATTATAGATGATGACACCAATGTGCGTTTTCCACAGTTAGGAGAACATTTAAGGCAGATGACCAGGCTAGGACATGTTTAAAATAAAAGTTTGCAGAGTATTCCTCTAAGGACAACACAAAAACCCACCCAAAAGTTGAAGAAGTTGGTATATTTCAGACTTGCACTTGAGTCTTGTACAACAGAAACTGATAAGAGGGTATAACCTTTAAAATAGCATAAATTACCATAACATTTAATCAGTTTTTCAAAGTGTGTCTATAGCAATAGTTGCTGCTACTGCTCATTTACTAGTAGCTAAAAATACATGATTAAAGATGGACTAAAAAGAAAATGAAATGTTTTTTGCCATCCCTGCAATTTTAAAGGTTTTTAAAACATTCAAAACCTGAAAAAGAAATGCAACCAAAAGTCATTTGGACTGAATCTGCACATTAAACAAAAAAAAAACCTTTTGGCTCATAAAAAGGAAAAAGTGTAAGGGGGGCTGGGGGGTGGAATTAGTGAGGAGTTACATTGTAACTTTAGATTTTTAGTTACACTATAGGTTTCAGATAGGGCCCATTATCTAGCCAGGTTACCTTCAAGGGTATTCACTATCTCAGAATTAAACAATCTTTCTCACCTGACTTCTACAATATACTTCTGCAGTTCTGCTCCATTAAGTTGCTTGTTAGAAATCAGTTGCTCATTCAACACATTTTCTTGCTGAGACAGCTGTTTGCCTTAAATACAGTGTTTTCAAGAAAATGTGACAAACAGCTGTGAAAAAAAACTGGTTTATTTATTCTTCAGGATAGTCTTATAGGTGTGGTTAACTGAGGCAGGGAGCTATAGGACTGCTTTCTTCTCTGTGCTTATTTAAGAACCCTAATCTGAAGAGGAAATCTAAATCCTCCTGAATACAGTTGGCTTACTCTATTCAGTATAACATGTTCAGCAGCTGCATTACCAAAAGGAAAATATCCATCTTTATTTCCCATTGTTCATTACATTGCAGATGTAATTAAAATAGTTTATGTAAAGACAATGACTGGCGAAGTGGAAATGTTTTCTTTGAATCTCACAGAGACTGAAAATTTTGCTCCTGTTATTGTGAGTTACCTTACTTGGAGTCCACTCTGAAAAAGGAAACTCGGTTCCTCCTAACTTGATTATTTTGCAACTATAATGGAAAGTAAGATTTAAATTAAAAGGGTTGGAAATAAATATGAAGTGTTAGATTAGAACATGTGCATAGAAAAGAAGTGAAATCTCTAGTATTCTGCAACAAAGCACGGTTCAACTAATGTTTTTATCTTCCCATCCCATCAAAACCAGTGGAAATTTCAGATTCTGTTCCGTCAACCCCACTGGCAAAGGAAGTGGCCAAGAGATTCTCTACACCTGATGCTAACCCTGTGTCAACAGAACCAGCCTGGCTTGCTTTAGCCAAGAGGAAAGCGAAAGCCTGGAGTGACTGTCCACAGATCATAAAGTAAACTTTAAAACTACATCTCTGTTGCTGACTATTAATTGCTATTTATTCAGCTTTTTACATGACAAAACCGAAAATGCATGCATTGAAAGACTGAAAAGTGAACTGATTATTATTTTGCTCTAGCTCTCTGTAAAGTCTATTCAAGTCACGTATTCCATTGCTTTGACAAATAGCTAAATAAGGTCATGGCAAAAAGTTCAGAGCCAGACTCTCTCAAAAACTTACGAATGCTCAGATATTGGATGTAAATTTTAGTATCATAATAAGGGCCAGAACTTCAGTTCAGAAGCTCCTTAAATTCTGTGGGTATTTGGTTCTGGAATTTTAGAACTCTATAATTAAGCATTGATCTCAGAAATCTTTTTCAACACTCCATTGTTGAAAATAAGGCAAGATGCATGTTCCCTTCTCTTATTCCTAAGTTTTTCTTTTAAGTGTTAAACTGTATGAGCTGTCAGTTCTATTTGTAATTTGAAAGCTTCTTCCCTAATGATGAAATTTGAGAGCTATTATTCCACCTGCAAATGATAAGTAGAAAGATGGTACTATCCAAGTGCTGAGATAAATTATTTCCTCATAGGATTAATACACTATGTCTATATTCCCTCACTCCTAGGAAGAAAACAATTCATCCTATTTAAAAAAAAATAAAGGTAAATGAAAACATTACTTAAAAAAAAATATCAGAAAATTTTCCAAAAGAAGCCAGAGAGTCAGTGTTTCTTCTAAGTCATTTAAGAGCATCACTGTTTGTGCCATATTTAAGATGCATAAAGACAGTGATTGCAGATTACACCTTTAAAATCAAGTGGAACTAAAATAAGGAAAACTATTGCTGTGCTCATGTAGCTGTAGAATTTGTCTCAGTAAGTTCCCACAGGAGTAAGACTTGCTGAACTGAAGTTAACTGAGAACGGAAAGGTAAGTTGGTGAGAGTCTCAGGAATTTTAACTCTGCCTTCTTCCTGATTTTACTGCACGTGCAACTTCAGGTAGTTAGATATCTTCCTGTACTTTGACCAATACAGCCAGAACACTTCGGAAAGAAGTTTACTTAGCCCATCTCAGGTATCTGCTGTGGCAGTTAAAACACTTTATTACTTCTTGGAACTAAAATAGAAATGTTTACCCCCTCCATCTTACAAAAAAGGATAAAGTCCACAAAGTAATAAAAATTTTACTGTCCTCAATATCCTACAGAAATAGCTAACTCTACATTTTAGAAAGTCACACTAATAAATAAATCTGTAACACACCTGAGTTTCTTTAACAAGGAAGTCTTAAAGAAAGTTGCAAATCTCCTTATAACCATAAGGCTCAAAGGAACCTTTAAGCCTACAACATCATAAAGGGAGATACTTTCATGGGAAGAAACTGTATCATTATGTATTTCATGGAAGTATTTTAGCCAAACTGCTGTATGCAGCACAAGGAGTAAGTAGCACTTTAAATTATGCAGAAAACAGAACGAAACCTGCCGTATCCTCCTGTTCCAAGAATCAAAAAGGACTTGTCAGCAAAAGTCATTATTGAATACACTACTTCCCATGGCTCAGTATAGTGGTTACAATAGCACAACACAATGGACATGTTAGATCAAGTAGATGTGCAGCAGGCAAGATGGAACTGAAAGTGTTCAAGGCCAGGTTAGATGGGGCTTTGCACAACCTTGTCTAGTGGAAGGTGTCCCTGCCAATGTCGGGGTGGGGGGGGGTGGGGGGGGTGGAAGTAGATGATCTTTAAGGTCCCTTCCAACCCAAACCATTGTCATTCTATGGGTTTTCTTGGGTCTCTTAAGCCATCAGTTTTGCTCAGTTTCAAATTTAAAATCAAAATCTCTGAAATAGCTTTTTATCCTTAGTATAAGGTATATAAAACGTTTGATATAGGGATGACTCAATGCTGCTCTCAAGTACTTGGGGGGCAAAAAACCCAAAATGCCACCTTCAAAGTCAAATCTCTGCAAGCTTATCTGAAGAATTAATCTTGACCATAATTTTTTTTTGCTCTGCTAGCACCATGAGTTAGCGCATCTTAAATTAAATTTACCCTTTTTCTGAGTTTATAAGTCTGCAGTATGTATTTGTAATCACAAGAAATAAACTGCCTGAAATCCATCTTTGTAATTATTTCCTGGGAGAAGGAGCCAGGCAGAAATATAGAGAAGGTGAAGTAAATCAGGATTAAAGGATTAAAGATACTGGTATTCTGAAAAGCATAGCAAAATTAGGTGCTATTGTGCATGACATAAGGATGCAATTTTCCAATACATTTATAGCACATAGAATAGAGCTTTCATTAAGGGTTGTCCTAATCTAAAGCTTCAAAGCAGAGTTTTTTTTCAACCATAAAGGTATCTAGTGTAATAATGGAAACTGTATTATGTACAGTACTTGATGGAAACATTTCTAAAGTGTACATGTTCAACAGTGACATTTCATGTTAACAAAATTTTGCACTAAATACCAATGAAGTGTTACTTTGCTTTGGCTTTGTTGCAACCATTTCTGATAAAGTGTTGGAAATCTGTAAAAATAAAACCAAAACATTACTACAGAGTTTAAAACAGCAAAACTGTTTTAAGAACCAAACAAACCACTATGTAGTATATTGTCTCAATTTTTTGTAACTTATACACACAAAATACCACTTCTTCTGACAAGGTTATATATGATTAACCTCTATGTTCATATAGTAATGTATAAAAACTATAAGATGTATAATTGTGGGGTATTTGTTGTGTACTTTTTTAATTTTTCAAATGTTTTAAAGTGCAATTGTTTATTATACTAATGTCATTTTAATTCTTATTAAACTATAACCCAGTCAAAATTATCTAATTGATGTATGTATTCTGCGTCTCCTTTTGCGAATCGCGTAGTTCAGGTTTGCTTTATAAAGACAGCTTTTCACGGTGCTACAAGTGTCTTGACTAAGCATTTCTGCTAAGGAACTGTAATTCAAAATAGATGGCTCATCAGAGAGTGAGGTAATAGTTTCTAGTACAGTTCTTTTAGAAGACTCATAGTTAGAAAGATGCTCTCAGTTATGTGTACTTCTGTCACTGCAAATACTTGATTTGCATTACTAATACCAGGTAATTAATTTAAGGTGTTAAAGACAACCAAACCAAATTTACATAACCTTTTATTAATAGTTCTCTGCAAAGACACTGTAGCAAGCATTTATTCAGATCCCCTAAAAAATTGGCAATGGTTGATTTGAGCAATGCACACTTCATCTTGGAAACCAGACTGTACCCATCATTGAAATTTAATAAATATACACATGTAGATATATTCTGTACTTTAGAATACAAGAAGAAAATCCTGCTGACTTCAATGGAGTTTCGGTATATGCTTGACTGAATAGAAGCCAAGGAGGGCCTAGGCTCACAGGAGATGAGCTACTCAGTTTAAACATACTGTAGCAACCAGGTCGCTACTACCAGGCATATGCAATGCAGGCTACGTCTTCAGAAATCAAGTTGGAAGTTAAGATTCAAAAAAGGACTTGAGGTACCTTGTCACAGCACAGAAACCTCATCAGACTAGACAAACACCAGTCTGATGCATGGAAGAGCCAGGCACAGGCTAGGAAAGAACCTTAGGGCACAGGCTAGGCTGGACTTGGAGAGAGGAATACATTCCTTCCTCAGGGAGACAAGCATGTTATTCCAAGCTGCAGAGTATGGCACCTTACCACAGTTTCTCCCAACCCTGCAAGTTGAAGCCAAACTACTGACTTACTTTTTCTCATAACATGGGCCAAAGCACGACATTCAAATCCAAACCATCTGAAACGTTATTTCATTAATTGTAGCTGGAAAATGAGGGAGGGACAGTGAAACCTCTGGCTTGGTGCTGAGCAGCCATCCTTGTTTAATCAGTAGAGTGCTACACACACTGGACGCTGCCTTCTGCAAAATGCTACCTGGGAAGTCTCCAAAGAGCACCTCTTGCCTACAGTAAAATAGACACAGAGGTAGAGAGGACCTGCGAGTTCTTAGTTTACAATGTAAACAATAAAAAGGAAGCAGCCTAACATCTTAGCTGTTCTTTTTTTCCTGTATATACAAATCTAGGCAATAAACATAATCATTTCTACAGCCGACAACAAGCTTTGTTCCCCACACTACAGGGGAAGAGAAAACCTCTCCTGGAAGCTTATCTACTCCTTCCGCTGTTCCACTCTTGGCATTCAGGATCCACACTTTGCCATCTGTAGATATTGCTGCTAAAAGAATTTTGTTCTTTAAGTCATCACTTTGGAAAACGAATGGTGTTCCATACACACTTGAAGAAGCTTTAAATTTCCACAGTAAATTACCCTCCATGTTACAACAGTAGATAAAGCAATCATGGGAGCCAAAAAATATTTCTTGCTTAGTTAAACTTGAGATGCATGGAGATGAGAACACCGGTCCATTAGTGGAAAACTGCCAAATCTACAGAAAGAATATAACAACCCGTTATCAAAGGTTGTCCACATAATCAGTTTGACAGCAACAGTAATTTTTTAATAGACTAGTTGTTGACAGGAAAGCATTTTATTTCAAGAGCATGCTAGACTTCAGTCAGGGCTTGTAAACTACTTGTAAATTACAAGTTAAATTTTACACTCAGAGTAAATATATATTTATATATATTATAAAATAGACATGCAAGAGTTACTACCTTCTGTGAGGCCCAGATAAAGATGGCCAACTTTGGAAAATAATATTCTTGGGCTGTTGTACCAGAATGAGTAATGAACCGTGAGAATTCTGTTACCATGCCATCCTTAGCCAAAAAGTGGAATACTCCTTTTGTAATGCATATTTCCTTTGTTCATGCTAATGATGTGTAGATCCCCCCTCAAGAGAGTATCAGTTCTGTCACACTGCTACAAGCAGACACAGAGCAGAGCATGGGTGAAAGCATACTTTACAATTAGAAGAGGCTTAGGAGTTTCCATGTGCACTGCATCTCAGCCAAATAAACAGAAACAGTAGCTGTTGTTTTAACACCAGATACAAACCACATTCATCTCTGACAAACTAAAAAAATATTCTCCTTTAATTGAATATGAAGGCTGACACATATTTTGCCAAAATTATGATTTGGCATTTTTTGATAAATGCATAAACATTCTAAGAAACCTTTACTTCTAAGTAGCCACCATCCTACAGAACAGATGGCTTTAAACACACTTGGAAAACTCCAACACCAAACCCATACCATTTCATTTGCCTGTACTACTCTCGACCATTTATTTTGGGTGTAAGTAAGCTCTGAACTAGAAATTCTGTTACTGCATCAAGCAACTTGAGAGTTTGTGGTTTTGCCATGAACTGCATAGATTACCCTAGGCAAACAGCTTTTCTACTTTCTCCTCTCTGTAACAATGGACACTTTATTTGGTTCACAAAAAGGTATGCGTTAATCATTAAACCTCAGAAACCAGTATTAATAAAGCACCTTATTAAGGGTTTTTTGATGTACATAAAAAACTCATGACAACACTTTTACCTTTTCTCCAGAATGAGCGTAACAATATAAGTTTCCATCCACACACCCAATGTAAACGTACTTCTCATTGCAGTGAGGAGAAGAGAAGAGTGGTTTTCTCAGGAAGCTTTTCCAAATCTTACTCCCTGTTACCTGCAAATGGCAGCATGGAATAATTGTAATTAATGTAACCATAAGAAGCTGCACAAAACAACCTTTCTTCACAGCCTGATTAAGCCCTTAAGAATTGAGGAGAGGGAGAGGCAACGAAAAGCAGACTTCTCCTGTCCAGATTGCCTACCATAAGCAAAACTACTCTTCAAATATTAATCTAGCAAAATGTTTACTGTTTTCCATGGGATACTCAATACTCCTCTTTCACCTTTCTCTTCCTTTCCCTAGGCAAAATAATAATTATAATAGCATAGTAAGTTTTAATAAATGACAGATTCTTTTTCATTCCATTCCCAGTTCCTCAGTCTATAACAAGAACCAAGGAAGGAGAGGGTCTTTTGAAAGCAAGAAAAATAATGATTTGACATTCACTATAAACATGGTAGGAAATGCTGCAAACCACAATCTATGACTGTCACAATAGGCTCCTGAGGTAGCCTGCACATTCCTATTTTTTATAAAAAGTCACTTGGTGTTACAGCTGGGTTTCTCAGCTACTTGTTACTCAGGATTACTGAGGGGTGAGGGGATGGAATCTGCTTTTTCTTACACAGCCCAGTAAAGCTGCAAAACCATAAACCAGTTTTCTAACTCTAGGTTGGGTGTTACTGAAGAAACTTGTAGTGGGTGGGAAGAAAGATGGTTAGGACTCTTGATCTGGGTTGTGTGAGTACAACATGAACAGCTGTTCCAAGTGACCATTCCTTTTATCTACCAGGACCAGCTGCAAGCCAACAATGCCTCAGAAACCCATGAAATATCTATCAATATATATCACAAATGTCATTCCCCAAGTGCAGAGAACAGAATAGGAAACCAAAATTAAGGAGAACAGCTCTTTAAATGACTACAGGTAGGGAAACAGTAAGAGGAATGAAGGAGCTTCTTTATTTTTTTCTGACCTCAGAAAGTTTGTGCAGTTTTTTTCCGACTCTACTGTCAAAGGGAGGGAGGAGAAAAACAAATCTAGACATAATCTCACTCACTAGTTAAACTGATAAGGTAGTCTATGGGAATGAGAAGACATTGATTCCAACTTTGGTCTATAATCAGCATGTAAATTCAAGCAAGGCACTTCAGTTCTCTTTATCACCAGATAATTATGGTAACCTTGTGCATAATAATAAGGCCCTCAAGTGAAAAATATCTTATGGTAACAACATCTGGTTCCTTTCATCAGAAAGGTGATCTTAACTTCAGAAATGCATTTTGGTTTCATTTAAATTTGAGACTGGGATCAAAGACAAGCAAAGGTACATACTGGGTTTATAGCCAACAGCAGTCCTCCTAGTGTAGCAACATAAAGATGATATGGTAAAGAACTTAAACAAGGAGATGAAAACACAGCTCCACCTTCACAGTGTAACTTCCACACACACTCCCTTTTCTGTAAGCAAAAGAAAAAAAGAGAAATTATTTTTCTACAACAGTTAAAGTTCATCATACTTACAAAGTCCTTCAAATGTCAGTTTATCAAACACTGCCTTTAGTCAGCAAACACTAATTAAGAGGCGAAGATATAATCTACATGCTATTATAACAGCACATATGCCATTGGCTACTTTCTTTTTCAATGACTAAAAGAAATTCAGCTAATGAAGAGGCAGTATCTGCCCTCTTATTTTCCATCTTCCTTCACCTCTCTTTTAGAATGTCCACTCTTTTAGATCTCCACTATTAAGCTTTATATCTAATACTAATATTATTAAGTTTTATTTCTAGCAGGACACCCTATTCTGAAACACCTGCAAAGAATAGCTAAGAAACAAGATTTAGTCTGAACCGAGACTAGTAGCACAAGAACCACAGCTGAGACCACCACTATTTAATACCACATAATCCTAACTCCACTTGAAGCTGGCCTACCTATTTCAAAACTGCAATTGTAGACTCCTGATAATACTAACACCAGTGGAACTTCATCTTATGTACTATAAATAAGGTCCAAGTTGGATATTTATTCTTCCATACATAAAGGTTAGTCAGTATTCTTACGTAAATATCCAAAGAATACACATGTTGGTCATGCGATCCTATGTAGACTAGTCCACTGGAAGGGTCTACAACTGCAGAGCTTTTCACAGTATCTTCTGTGACAAAAGTCCAGTGTATTTCTCCATCGCTGCTTTGAAGCACATACACTAAGCCATCATAACAACCTGTGTGAAATAA